ATCGTATTACATTAGCTTTTAATTCCTTTAGGAGTACTTTCAGAGAACAATGCGTCCGCCATCTTGAAAAGTGAGACCTGAATCACTTACTATCACTGGAAAAAATCGCACGCTTAAAAGGTTGCAAATTTGATGTATATATGATGTAAGTGTCCAAAATGATGTAAATTTGATGTAAATCATTTCCATCAAATTTACATCATTTCGGACACTGCGCGATTTTTTCCAGTGATGTTGTGCGTTACAACACGTTTTGTAGTTGCTAAGCCAGCTATCATTATATCGTATTATATTGACTTGACATTAGCTGAGAAGCTTTTTAAATTTCTTTGGGAGTTGTAATTTCGGGTCCGCAGTAATTGACTCAAACTGTTGCGGTGTCCCTGCCCCTAACATCATTTTGTATTTGTTGTCATGGTATCTTTTGTTGATTTTGCTGTTGTTGTTTATGTAATTTGGGCCAAGATAATAAAATAAAATAAATAAAATAAAATAAATAAAATAATTTAGTGTTTCGAATGCCACTTCTCAAGATGGTGGACGCATTGTTCTTCGAAAGCACTGATGCATGTAYWAAACTGTGCAATAACTCCTCCAGTATCGAGCTCAAAAGCCTCGCTATATATAGTATATTTTCTTTCTCCTTATTAATGTTTTAGGGATACTAAAGCTGACATTACAGACAACGTTTGGCACCACATTTGTGTCTCKTGGGAAAGTTCATCTGGCAAAACAGAAATCTACTTAGARGGATCTTTAAAAGGATCCTCTGTGCTCAAGAAGGGTCATGTCATCCCMCCTGRAGGTGYGCTTATCATTGGCCAAGAACAAGACAAAGTTGGTGGAGGGTTTTCTTCGTCACAAAACTACATCGGACAGCTTTCAGTAATCAACATATTTGATGRAATGCCCTCGAAGACTGTGATTGCTTATATGACGTCGYTSCCGCGCTGTAATTTGGCRGTGGGAAATGTATTGTCTTGGAGCGACGTCATATACGGCGAGACACACGGCCAAGTACAATTCGTTCSCCGCTCGAATTGCCTTATAACACCATAGACCTTCATGAATGGTTGGGTGGTTTGGTTTCGTTTAATATTTTGACAGATGTGCAATATAATGGTGTTGGGTATTAGAATTTAGTATATGGTGTTGGGTTAGTTTTGGCTTTGTAAGAATTAGTAATTATGAAATTGTTGCAGTCTTAGCTTTGAAAACAGTAAATAAAATACCCTTAACCTTTATTTGCGAATCAAATAATTTTTATTCTTGATTTTGGGCATCCAAAACACAAACATCCTCCAAACGGGCTTTTACCATTTGAATATTTAGTAATGGGTTCCTGCTTTTGCTGATTATTATAACAGTATTATTGACCTTGTTAATATACAGCGTCGCTTCGGAAGAGTATTCTGTCCAATATGTAAATTAGCTACACAGGGTACCCAATAATTGATAAAAAAGAAATGAGTGTTGATTTTTTGAAGAGCAAGCCCAAGATGGTACCTTTATAGATCTTTTTTCTCTCTATCTTTTTAAAATGAGCCTTAAAGGTAAGAACATAAATCTAGCTCGAKTTTTGCSTCAAAATGCCCAAATATGGGAAATAATTKATTGCAATGTGGCCAGGTTACAACAGCTAGGGTGTGAAATCGACAAGATTCCAACATTCGATGCGATCAWRAGGTATTTGACGCTCYAWRACTGCTAAGGTAAAATTTTATTTGAATTTTTTTCATTTAATGTTTTGTTTGCCATCTTATTTAAGGTTTACGAACGAAAATTAAGCCAATTTAAAATGATTTTGCTATTTTTAAATCGAATTTACCTCGCGGGAAATTTAAACAAAGTTCAAGAAGTGTCTCACGTGGTAGACGCGTTAAGCTAATATCACTTTATATTAAAAGACTCCTATATGAAGAATGCATTAGAAGTAAAGGTTTCAATTACAAGCTCTACATAACTACTAAACAATTCAGGTTTATAACTTGGCAAAGGCAAAATACAT